TTCTTTCACCAACTAAATTTTATACTGACACATTTTTACATTACTTAAAAATTTATCTTTGGGGGAAAGAAAATTTTCTTTTAAAAAATAAGTAAACTAAATTTTATTTGTCCTCAATTAACTATAGTTTTAAAATTATTTACACAACCACAGATATTACAATTAAACTTTAAATGACTATACTTATGTTTATAAATATTACGGTAAATTTAGGTAAAAAGTTTTTAATAATGAAGGTTAAATTCTAAAGTTAAAAAAGTTGACGATGTTTAGTATGATAAGATAAAACTATGTTTTGCTATTTTAAGTAAAAAAAATTGTATTTTTAAGGAATTAAGAATTTTAAAGTTTCATGTAAAAAGAAAAGAATGAAACTTTATGAAAAATCATAAACTAATATGAATTTAAAAAGTGAAGAAAGGTAAGGAGTTTTGACTTTAAGAAGAAGATAGTGAAGTTCAAAATTATTAAAGACTATCCAAATATAATAATCCTCGCTTGAAAAAGAAAAAACAAAAAAAGGGATTGAAAGATCCAAAAGAAAAAAAAAAAGAAAAGAAAAGAAAAATGTGTGAGGAGAAGCATGAGGCAATGTCAAATCAAAAATTGGCATCACTTCAATCAACTTAAGGAAAATGCTTTATTACAATTTCTAAACTTGTATTAGAGTATTAGTAGCATTACTAGTAAAGTTTTCATGAAGTTCTTTTTAATATGAATATTCTAAGTATCCTTGAATTCTAAATGAATATTCTAAGTATCCTTGATATGATAAATTGCAATTCTTCTTGAAATGAATAAAAATTTGGAAATCTTAAATTTGATTACTAAGTACTCTTGGACTTAGATTTTGAATCTAAGTAATTTATGATTTTTCATAAATTTTATTATTTTATTTAGCAAACTAAAGTACAGAAGTTATGAGTTAATCTCATTCCTAAGTCATATGCTTTCACGTAGTAAAAGTGTTACTTAAGGACAAGTAACATTTAAATTTGGGATATTTTGATATACCAAGATAATATTTGTTTGAAGTACATATTTTATGTTTATTTTTGGTGATATTACACTTTAAAGAAGGGTATTTTCATGTTTTTATTGCAGTTATATCAATTTTAGGCATTTGGAGCAATTATGTTTTTATTGCAGTTATATCAATTTTAGGCATTTGGAGCAAAAGTAGCAAAAAGGACGAAATTTGGAGCAAAAACTGTGAATTTTGAGATTCTAGCGTCTGATTTACCAGATTGGCGCCAAAAGCACCATTTGACAGAGAGCTGGAGCTTGAAGTGCCAGAACTGTCACCAAAAGCATCATTTGACAAAGCGCTAGAGCCAGATGCCCCAGATTTGGCACCTGAATCACTAAAACCCAGAACTGCGTGATCTTAAGCAAGTTGGAGCCTGAAGTGCCAGAACTGACGCCAGAGAAGAATTTTTGTGGGTTAAGGTGGTTCGGGACAAATATTGCACTAATTTTGAAAGGGACACTTGTTCTAAACACCCCTTGGAGTGATTTAATGCATATAGAAACTTTGGAAGGTTCTTTATAAAGAGATATGTCTCTTGGATCAATGGACATGTCTTTTGAATTCAAAAAGGTTGACTTTTTGATAGAATTTTGGAGGGAGTTTTGAATTCTTTTTGCAGGGATACAGCCATTAATAAAAAAGAGGGAAGTCTAGGGCTAGAGAAGAGTTTTTGATGTCTCGTGTAAGGGGGACAAAAGAGAGAGAGAGAGATAGAGATAGAGAGAGAAATTCAAGAGCTTGGAGATTTTCTTTAAGGATCACAAGAGAAGAGGGAAGGTGACAGATTTCTTCTTCATTACACTTCTAAAAGAGAATTGAGAGAGCTTGTAAAGAGGGAAAGGCTTGACGAGAAATTTTAGGGATTTGCTAAGGAAGGATTGTGAGATAAGTTCTGTCTTTTATTTCTTTTATTTTCTACACTTATTTTTATTCATGAAATCTGTGTTTTGTTGTATCTTTCTCATGAATTCTAAATAGTCTTCTTTATCCTTCTCCTTACTTTGAAATATGATTTTGTGAAGAATTGATTTTCTTTTATACGGTTTTAAATGTCAATAATTTTTGATGATTTGAACTCTGATCTTCATTTATTTTTCGATTTGGCCAATTAAATTGTTAAAATGTGTTGAGAAACATATGTTCCAAAAGGGCTATGATTTCTACAACATAGGGAGAATCACATTTGATTTCATGGAACAGGATGTCATCCATGGATTTGAGTGCAAATAAATA